GTTATAGAAATTTTATTTACAAGGTAACAGAATTTATATATTGATGCATTTAACGTTTACTTTTACATCTGCGTTTATAATTGGCTGAAAACTGCTGGCCGGGAAACAATACAAGTGCCATTGATAAAGATACTGCCAAACCTAGATACAGATGGATTGACTTCTTGTTAGTCTTTACTTATATCATATCAACAACAGTTCACATACAAGATCAAAAGCTGTGGCACAGTTTGTTACTTGAAACTGTATAGCAACGCCACCATGATGTTACCGACAGCTTGCTTAACAGTACCTCGAATAGTCAACCTGTAAATAATCCGGTCAGGAAAAGGTAGCCAGTTATTTGTAAAGTTGTTCAACATTGTACAAAAGACACTTAAGTGAATAACTCTTTTATAAAAATTAGAGTGATACATTAGAGCCAAACAACGAATCAAACTGCAACATGCAGCTGTTTCCTCCTTTCCAGACTCGTCGGTGATGCTTAGGACTTAAAATTTGGAGGTGACTGAGGAAAAATCCAATGTGATCGAAAAAAGTGAACGTTTTGGCGAAGAAGTGCACTAGTCAATGAAATTAATTTCTTAATTTTTTATATAGCCGACAATTTTCTTGTGTAAATTCTGAAGCGGGGATATAGAATTATTTTAATCTTTTCAATTATTGTTCGAGGAAAATCCATAAAAGTTCCGGAACAATAGAAACGAGACCGATTCAACAGAAACGTGTTATAGTTTGTTGTACTTATGAAGTCCATCTCGGGCATATGTTAAAAGAAATGAAATAAGAATTCATTGCATGCATTGTGAACTCCTTAAGTCGTAGTCACGAACCTAACCAAGGGTTTGTTTAATTGGCCTGAAAAAGTAATAAATATATGTTATTTTCTAACTATGTATTGCAGGTTTTAACCCCGAATATTTGGACAAGCATTTTACACTGATGACGATACATATTAAGTTTTAAACAGATGCATTTTCATACACTGAAATGTTAGATTTTAATAGCAATAATGGGAAAACTTTCTACTACTCATTTGTCTATCTATAATGGAAGTTAAATGCAATATGCAATTTTAATTGATTAATTTTCTATAAAGAAAAAAACGCATATTATGTTATATAGTTATATAATCCTTAGATCAGATTGCAGGTGGTAGACACCTGAACTATTTAATTCATTCGAATAGAGGCACCTGACGTTCTTTGTTATTTTGATATAATCTAATACATATATTTGAAAATTACGGTTCTTCAGATTTTTAATGTCAATCGAACACAATCTTTTTAAACCACCAATAAAAGAATTAAGTGTGACGTTTCGATGACACTGTCATCTTCCTCAGACAAATGACCACTGTGGAGTGGACTTATGTAGTGTAAGACCCCTTGCGCGCTTACATCCGGGCCAACAAGAGTGATAAGTAAAAGTTGAAATAACTTGTTTCGCAACTTTTGTAAAATAAATAAAGTTTACAGTTATGTAGTGTACGAAATGGTAAAGAATCAACCAACATTTTCGGCTGTACTGAATAATTCTATGTTCGCTAAAGAAGAGAACTGTGTTATAAAACTTTGATTCTATGCACCTATGTACTTTTATTTTAGTTGCATTACTGTAATCATTTTTACAGCACTGATATCCAACCCCTTTTCCGATAAAAAGAAGAAAATATCAGTGTCCCTTGCTTGACCCTAAAACATTCTTTTAGTTTGCAATGGCCTATGTTGTACCAAGAAGCATTTATCATTTTTATTAGTATAATTTCACATCAATTTCCATGCAAGCGTATAGACTATTTAACTTGAGAGTCATTTTAATTGCCACATTTGTGCAAAACTTTTTTTTACTCCTTTAAACTTTGTACAGTACTGTAACTGTACCTGGAAATTGTCACTTAAATCTACTTTTGGAGTGTGGTACAGCTCAATCTGTATAGATGAAAATTAATACAGGCAATCGGTATATTCATGGTCGACATCATGAACACATGTGCAAATACTCTGTAATGCAGGTTGATTTAAAACATTTAAAGTTTTACGGCCATTACTGTGATCTATTTCTTTATGCGAAAACAATCTGTACTTTTTTGATGCTCATTAGTCTACCTGTTGGTACCGTTGCTGTAAACGTTGTTTGCATTTGAGTACATAACATTAATTACTTGAATTGCACGAGATCTATACATGGCAAGTACTTGTATTCGATGACGCATAATGCAATTACTCTTCCGGAACAACTGGTCTTATCCTCCTATCTTTGTTGACATTGCCTGATAGACGTTTGATGTTTCGTCTGGTAACTACATTTGCAAGCCTGCTGAGAGCTTGATCAAGCATTTTCTAGGTACGATAACGACTCTCATAGTGAGTTTGATTATTACCATGCCATCTCCAAAACAAGTGTCTCATTGCCTGCGTTTATATTGCCCGATTATTTTTCCATTCCCCGATGTTTTCTAAGTATTACTGATACATTATTTATAGATAAAGCAGTCACCTCATTAATCGCCATGGAGATGTTCTGCCTTGTCGTCCTCTTGGCTGCTGCTCCGCAGATATTTCCAGACGTAAAAGCAGCGGATGCAAGAGATATCATTGGTAAGGGTCCGGTATGGTAATAGATAAACATATTTTATTTATTTCAGATAGTTTAGATTATTGCTTATTGCGAGAGTTTTCTTCAATACTTATTGATCCGGGCAGGAATGGCCTTATGTGTATTACATTCGTTATTCTAAGTACTGTCAAATTTTTGCTAAAAGTTTTATTATGTATCTGTTTTCTCAAGAATCGTAATAAATAGCATGTGGATTTTGAAGAACGCCAAAGAGCTTTGGTCAATCTTCTTCACACTCTTTTTAAAAGTATTTCTGCTATAAGAACATTTGATTTTTCCACCGTGTACACCACCATTCTAAACTGAAAAAACACCTTCGTTCTCTTGTTATGAGAGCTTTCTAGATCGAAGAAAGATGAACGACATTGTGCATGTATGGTTGTGAACTACACGTTCAAATCAAAGAAGAAATATACTACGGAGGACGAAATCATGAAAATGTTCGAGTTTCTAGTTGACAACATCTTCAACGAGTTTGGTGGTAAAATCTTCATACAGACTATTGGCATACCTATGGAAACGCACTGCGCCCCTCTGTTGACTAAGTTCTTTTTGTTTTATACGAGGCTGAATTTATGGAAGGGTTTATCAACGAAATGTTGTTTTAGATATAATGATGACGTCTTTTTTTTAAATAACAAGACATTTATTGACCACGCCCATTGGATATTCCCACCAGAATTGGAAGCCAATGACACGACATACAGCTGCATATCTCGATCTTTTCCTACAACGAAACCAACATGGACAGCTTTCCACCAAGCTTTATGATAAATGTAATCCCTGCCTATGGTTTTACATATCGCACCGTGGTGATCTCATTGAGAAATATTCTATTTCTTTGTGCGACATGAAGCTGGACGTGTTTGATGCTCGTTGATTCGCCTTTTGCTTCCATTGCTGTATACCTTGTTCTCATTTTGAGAACGTGACATTACTTGATTCGGTTGACTAAGCTTTACATAGCAGGTATCGTCGACGAAGCAGAAGACGCTTACTCTTCCAGAGCACCTGGTCTTATTCTCTTTGTACATGAGTTCATATTATGTCATAATGTTTTTTATTTGAACTTGATTTATTATTATGTTGGGTATTTTCTTGATGTTTTATGCTGTTTAAATGTATATCACATGACTTCCCATTTCATTCGAAATTATCGAAGGAGTTTCCGATTATATCGAGCCCTTGGCGACGTTTAATGAATTATTAGTGATGAGATTGATCATTGCAATATGAAAATAAAACACAAGTTTTACGTTTGCAAATATTCGTGAAAATAGCATTTTATACAACCAATATGAAATATATTCTTACACCATATCAGTTTCTTTCACTCGTAGCCATTACACTGTTGGTTTTATTGGGTTTATTTCACTGATACCAGAGTAGTTATGTCATAAACACAATAATCTCATTAACTTTACTGACAATGCATAAAAAAATAAAATCAATCGCTAAACATACAAAACAATCAAGTCGTCATTAAATAGTCAAGGATACATTGATAGTATTTACATTGATGCATGTAGCATGCCGTTTAGGAGCACCAAAATAATGTGCTTCATTCGCTAGGGTAATATATAATTTCGGTCACAAGTTAGGGATCATCAATTTCAGTATGCAAAAATAAAGATTTATCTTTCCTTTTGTGAAAAAAACCCCACCTTGTACTCCTTGCAATATCTCCTTTTGTGTTTAGTGCCGTATGCCATCAAGCAATACTCTCGTATCAAAGTAAGGTACCTCATAACATAACAAAGTTTGCATTGTAACCTGGAGCAGTGTTTGCAGTTGTAAAACAGGGGCATCATACACATACTAATACTGTATTGGCAAAAACGTTTCTCGAACGGTTTATGTGGTTTGACATACAAACAAGTTGCTGCATGTTTGAATGTCAGCAAGTCTCTTATTTCTTGGATGGTGCAGCGTCTGAACCACACTGGGCATATGTTTCCTCGGTTATACGTGGTATTGACATTTGCATACAGAACGGAACTCGTTGATAAATTATTCTTCTAAATCAAGGAACAAAATTTGGTAATTTAATTTGATGACGAACATCATTTTTAAATGATACAGAAAGTCCCCTTCAGTAAACTTCTTTTCCTGTCGAGTGTGTGTTTCTTTAGATTCCTATCTACTCTGTTGTGCTGTCATTTAATGTTGTTCTTAAAATGCATCGGACAAAATCAATCCCATATATAAGATTATTATTCATATGTGAAAATGTGACAATGGAATAAGTTAACATCATTCTATGTCACGATCGAAAATAATACTAGATCGTCTATAACTATACTTCACGGTTTTTTACAGATTTGTATCCGCTTGGTTTGAAATACTATGGTTTTCTCGACAAAAAAAGCCGACTCATTTACATGGTATCGACATATTCGAATAAGAAGAATTGGTACAAGTCTGTGGAAGAATGTAGAAAAGTTGATGCAGAAATGTTTAATTTAACACATGCGATCACCAATCTCAACAGTGTTGGTGAGTAGAATATACAATGTTACGTTTGCGTAAGGATGTAGAGTGGTTATATTTTGCCGGGAGTAGCGCATGCTTCAATATAAAACGAATTAAAAGTAGAAGTACTTCGTTACCTATCTATTTAGTGAAGGAAGAGCTCAATGTATGATTTTTAGTTAAAGTATGTGTTTGTTAACAGCGTAGTAGCCAACGTTATTCCATTAACTGCGTCACCAATTTCAAAGTTTGTTTTTCTTTTACGTTAATGTGTTTTTTTTTCTTGAGTTTACGTCTGGAAGTCTCGGGTCGTGTTGTAGTTTTCAACCAAATTTTGCATGAACAATCCAAATATGTTTGACATACGTGATTCTTAGCTTGGTGGATTATTTTTCTGGATCAGGTAGTGTCTTAATTCTGAAAAAAAAACGGGTAGTTTGGTGAAGAAGAATACATCGTAACACTTTTTACTTCTGAAAAAAAGTGTGTAAAATTGGGAAAATTAATTAAGACAAGGTTAATTTCAGAACGTTATCAAATTAGAATTTCAGTTATTTTTAAGCATTTTCATTATATTATGTGCAAATACACATCAACAAAAAAGTACATTTTGACCACTTGATCTTTATACATCTTTAAGGTATATTGGTAAAACTCCGATAAGCACTCGAAAAAAACCTGATATTGAATTTACCCATTTGTGAATCATCACATTTCAATCTTTATTTCATTCGAGCTTCTTTTGACTTTTTATATTAATTGACGCTTGCACTAATCAAAGAGTTTCCTGTATTTCTTTTTATATTTTTGAGATAAAGTAAATGAGTACGTCACCTTCTGCAGTCACAAACCTTTATAACATTTTTATCTGTCAGGACACCATTCACTGAGAGAAATTTGGTTCCTGTAGAAAAGCAACCTAATTAAATTTCGATGTTCAACTTACGTCAACTTAGAATGAACGGAGATATTTTGAAAATCGAATTTTAATTTAATTTTAATCAGATTGGCAGACCAATTGACTTTCGACACAAAATTTCATAAATTAAATCTACATTCCGGTGGTCAAAAACTAACAACACCATATGTGACGGTGTTCTGAATTCTGAAAAGAAATTGTATTATTTTGATTCCCGAATTTATTGAAAAACAATGATTGAAATTAAAATTCATATAATATCAAATGTATCTGAATCGTGCGCTCAGTTTTAGGTTCAGCGGTACATTAATGTATTTTACAGCATAGGAATTTCATTATTCGACAGTGTCTGTCGGTGTCCAATATATCAATTAGGTATGAATTCATCTTTACAACGTTGATTGAATGAAATTAATTATATTACATATCTGTTTTTATTTTAGTGAAGGGACACTACTATATAGATGGAATGCGGAAACCTGGTAGGTTAACTTTACTTTCTTTATTCGATACTAATGTTTTATTAAAGACTATATCATAAAAAGCAGAACATGTTACTCTAATTAAATCATCTGATTAATTATTATGAAAAATACTTCACCACACATTAAAAATACAATAAAAGGGAACATTTACCATAGGAATGCATGAAGTTCTTTTAACGGACCGGATACTATCATTGTTTGATTTGTAGGAGCACCAAATAAATATAGCATAAAAAACGGAATATGATGAAAATAGTATCCATTCCAATGTAGAAAATAAACAACATTAGGAAGCCTTGAATATGATGGTATTAAACCGTAGGTAAGAAAATTCCTACATCGAGAAGCCTAGATAGGTATAGATTGAAGACAGTATCAAACCAAATATAGGAAAATTCCTACATCGAGAAGCCTAGATAGGTATAGATTGAAGACAGTATCAAACCAAATATAGGAAAATTCCTACATCGAGAAGCCTAGATAGGTATAGATTGAAGACAGTATCAAACCAAATATAGGAAAATTCCTACATCGAGAAGCCTAGATAGGTATAGATTGAAGTTTCCCTGTAAATCTTTGTTAGGACGTGGGTTCACTCTGGTTATATTGATATATACTGAGAGGAAAAAGAAACGCAATTAGGAATTTCCAGGTCAACTAAGTATAACGACAATGAATCTCTGATGTCAGCAGTATCCGTGACATAATCAAAATCAAGTTAATATCCACCATACACTCCAATTCCTCACCAGATTCCAAATATGAAATAAGATTTATATATTGAGGGATAGAAAATTAAATATCATATTGGGAGGAAATAATGACAGTCACCTCAATAATGATCTAGGAGATAACTCTACCAGCTCAAGATAAATTTAATAATATAAATTGTTTATTACATGGCGTTCCTAACAAAATATCAACAGATTAATACGTCAGGAGTTTGATATCAAGTAATAACTTCACATGTAGAGCCTTCTTAACTCTCAACTCTTATATGCTCATATAAATGTAGTTGTGTTCGTTATACCATAATGTACAAAGTACAATTTTCGTATCTTAAAAAATCAACTACACCAACATGTTATATCAATTTTGTTCTACTATACAGGGCTACTAATATGATTGCACATAGTACATAAGGCAAATTTAGATACTTATAAATTTGAAGTAGTTGCATCATTAATTTGGTAATGATATGTATAATTACGTGTATAGCACCAGTGTATGTATATCTGTTCATGTAAGCATGTATATGATGAATAATTGGATGGATGTGTTGTTATTATTAAAATAAATTTCACAAGTTGATTATACAATGTTTGCATGATAATTGCTTTGTGTTCCGTCACCAGCTCCACCATTGCTGAGATTGCTATCTAGTCATCACATTATGGGGACTGGAGAAATACACACCCGCTTCACAATGAACCATATAATAGGCTTTAATCTACAATGTAGTTGCATTACTCAAACCTCCAGTATCAGAAATGTCCACGTGGCCTTTCAAGATATTGATTTCCCCCAATAAAATCCCTGTGAAATAAAATGAAAAAAGCCAGCAAAGTGCTTCATTACATGCATGTGCATATTATATATCAGATGACAGTCTGCATCTGAACATAATACATGTATTTAACCTGCGTTGCGCATCTTTCCAACGTTATTGGATATCTATTGAAAATTTTTGATACTTCTCTTTTCCTGATCGTATTTAAAATATCTTGTTGAAAAAACTCAAATTACAAAATATTTCGAAAATAATGTATCTGTAATTAGATATATCATCATGTATAGTATTAACATATATCTTTTCAATTAGATCTTTTGTTCTTTATTTACAGAAGGAAACTGGGTTTCACACACTGGCAAGAATCTGACATTCGATCTTACCTTATGGGGTCCAGGTAGGCACCTGTAACTATTGGTTTTATTTCATTTGGAAAACATTTGATCGTATTCGTATAAATTTTATCTGATTGATACAAGTATCATTTACTCTATAAAAGAACAAGAATATACCGACACGTCACACAATCATAATACAAATTCAAAACTATGACAAAACATGAACTGAAGGAAGAAATTTACAAGGAGATTCCTGAAACAATACAAGGATGATAAGATGAAGTGTTCCGAAAGAGTAAGCGTCTTCTGTTTAATCGATTACGCCTTCCTTGAATATCTTGGTCATTCCGAAAACCACCAAGAAATACTGTTAACAACTTGTATTCGCATGGTAGTTATTTTTGAATGAATATAATCATGGCATGCAGGTTACAGCAAACCTCGGGGATTAAAACTTTCACCAGCAATGATTGCCATCTGCAGTCTTGAAGATTAGGAAAATAAAAGGAACAAAAAAGCAAGCGCCTTTCAATTTAAATCAGTATTGATATAAAGCAGATCCATATAATGATTCACACAGCATCTGACAACTGTGTCGTTCTTATAGGACTCGTCTGTGATGTGCATCTTGTCCAACACAGTGCAGTTGTGATCGAAACTTCACAGGTTCAACAGCTTATGATTTTTTTATTCATGAATTGTTTTTGATATTACAATATATTTTTTCCTTTTCATTTTAACCAAATTAATTCCTTTTGCCTAGCCAGTCAGCCTTTGGGGGCAGACAATGTCAATATGTGCAAAAGTATAACACATTCAGTGAGGGACAAAATAGTTAAAATCGATCAACCTAGCATAACATTTGTTATTCTTATAAACTATTGTTGTAGGTATGTTCTATATCTCAGGTAAAAACATTTACTATGTCAGGTAAGACACATACTTTATATATATTAAAAGTACTTTTAAGTTAATAATGATGGGGTAGTATGAAAAGTGACCTAACAGCATTTCTCATCGGCTTTAGGTAATGCAAAAATAATCCATTAAGATACGTTCAACGGTTTCAATGATATGGCTCTGACAAGAAATCATTAGAAAAACAGAAGAAGCGTTGCTAATGCAAAATGTTTTCTTTCATTCGAAGGGAGGCATAACTACTTGTATGGCTTAAATAACCGTTTATCTTATTATCTCAAAATATTGCACCGTTACTTCATTCCCTGAAAAATGATTACTTCGACTGGAGTTCTATACTGGACACAAACTGTAAGAGATCATAGCTATATGTGATTGTTTCTGCCATTAAAACAGAATAAGCTTCTTATTGGGGTCAATGGATGGCTTGTTATTGGGCCAATGGAGGACACACCCACTATTGATAATGTTGTTTAACCCACTCTAACTTTGTTTAAGAGGGTTATAATTTTTTTTATATAATATACACAAGCTAGAAAGAAATTGTTTCAAAGTAGGCCAAAATTGCTTACTTATTGTTTGACTTCACTCTTGTATTTCATAGTCCAAAGGCTTTTACATTTTGATGCAAATATAGTTATCTTAAAAAAACTTTTTGTGTCCTATAAGGTTTGCTTGAGCTACTCTTCGACATTACAACTGTATTAAGTACTTTATTAAAATGATTTGTTTCCCAGTCGAAAACATAACAAGCTTTCACTATATCCCACAGTAAATCCCAAAGGATGGGGAACACGTATATTTATGCCAATGCCATGTTTGTTTTGAATAGGTTCAGTAGTTCTTGAGAAGATAAGAAAAAATGAACTGACACGGAATGACTGCCAAAGTCTCAGTGTGTGATGTGATTTCGTAAATAGATCCATTATAATATCTCAATGTTATAGGAAAATTGGATACTGAAAGATATTTTCCACATTGTCATTCATAGATTGTGGACAACACATTTCATAAATGTTATACTCAATTTAATGTAATCAAAACACTTATTTATCGCCAATATAGTCTAATGCTAAGTGTCAGTAGATTAATAAATGAATAATCTTTGTGATATAATTAATATGTGATGTCTATTCCAAATATTAAGCTACGTGTACATCATTTCGGATAATACATTTTTATCCTTGTAACTTACTATTTTCTGCTTTAATTGATGTTTGAACTCTTTGTTTTGTATAATATTTACAACACATCCAGCATCACATCAATCACTTTTCTGTCGTTTGGTCCCTAGGTACTAACAGTACTCCGATTATCGTTTCGTTAGCTAATGCTGATGTTACACATTTTTGTATCGTATCCAGATGAATGTGACAGCAAAACTTCAAAAAAGTGTAATTTTTTGTTACAAACACGTAAGATATTTAGAAATGACTGCTAAGACTTATGGTGTGTTCTATTCACTTCAGGTTTAATTTAACATTGAACTGTGAAACATAAGACGAGTTTTCCTCTCCCTCCAAGGAAATATCCTATCTTAGGGGGAAATGACGTAATTGACTGAATTTTGATGGTAATCAAGTGAATTTTGATGGTTACCATGTGAATTTCAATGGTTACCATGTGAATTTTGTTTTATAGAAAAAAGCGACATTATTTTGTGTGTTTCAGATCAACCGAATTGTGCAGGCAGAAATTGCTGTATGACACTCCGAAATATGAAGATATATGATTACTATTGTGCCGAAACAAACAGATTCATATGCCAAAGAAATAGTAAGTTTACAGGTTCTTTAAAACTGTAACTTCATCAAAGACAGAGGGAAAGTTGAACCTTGCGAGTAAATGGGAATATCATACAACAACATCCTGTCTATTGCTTACTAACGACTGTATGCTAACTGCCTACTACGTTCTGTACTATTTTCATTGCCTACGTCTTACCATTTGCTCTATTTTTACTGATGATTATTTACTGTCTGCTATATCATTTCTCCTTACTTCTTACTACTTACTGCCCACTGCTGACAGCCTTCTACCTACTGGATACTGTCTACTGGTTACTGCCTTTTGCCTACTGGTTACTGCTACAGTCTACCGCATACTGCTTACTGGTTACTGTAAATTGTCTACTACCTAGTCACATCTTCTTTACTGAGTTAAGCCTTAATGTGCAATGAGTAGGTAAGGATCAACTTTCTACATTGGTTAGATATCGGGAATCACTGAAATGGAACAACTGAATAGCTGTAGTTTTACTATAATTATAATGATACTAAACACCACAAAAGTTACAGACTCAATTACAAGTAGCAGTAGAAGTAGTTTGTTAGTAATAAGCAGCGAGCTGTTGGCAGTTAGCATTAGATAGTTGTTTCTTAGTAACAGGCATTGAAATGTAGGCAGTTAGCAGTAGAAAGTAGTTTGTGAGTAATAGGCATTGAGTTGTAGGCAGTTAGCAGTAGATAGTAGCTTATTAGTAAAAGGCAGCGAGCTGTTGGCAGTTAGCAGTAGAAAGTAGTTTGTGAGTAATAGGCATTGAGTTGTAGGCAGTTAGCAGTAGATAGTAATTTGTAAGTTATAGGCAGCGAGCTGTTGGCAGTTAGCAGTAGATAGTTGTTTATTAGTATTAGGCAGCGAGCTGTTGGCAGTTAGCAGTAGAAAGTAGTTTGTCAGTAACAGGCATTGAGTTGTAGGCAGTTAGCAGTAGAAAGTAGTTTATTAGTAACAGGCATTGAGTTGTAGGCAGTTAGCAGCAGATAGTAGTTTATTAGTAACAGGCATTGAGTTGTAGGCAGTTAGCAGCAGATAGTAGTTTATTAGTAATAGGCAGCGAGCTGTTGGCAGTTAGCAGCAGATAGTAGTTTATTAGTAACAGGCATTGAGTTGTAGGCAGTTAGCAGCAGATAGTAGTTTATTAGTAATAGGCAGCGAGCTGTTGGCAGTTAGCAGTAGAAAGTAGTTTGTTAGTAATAGGCAGCGAGCTGTTGGCAGTTAGCAGCAGATAGTAGTTTATTAGTAACAGGCAGCGAGCTGTTGGCAGTTAGCAGTAGAAAGTAGTTTATCAGTAACAGGCATTGAGTTGTAGGCAGTTAGCAGCAGATAGTAGTTTATTAGTAACAGGCATTGAGTTGTAGGCAGTTAGCAGCAGATAGTAGTTTATTAGTAATAGGCAGCGAGCTGTTGGCAGTTAGCAGCAGATAGTAGTTTATTAGTAACAGGCATTGAGTTGTAGGCAGTTAGCAGCAGATAGTAGTTTATTAGTAATAGGCAGCGAGCTGTTGGCAGTTAGCAGTAGAAAGTAATTTGTTAGTAATAGGCAGCGAGCTGTTGGCAGTTAGCAGCAGATAGTAGTTTATTAGTAACAGGCAGCGAGCTGTTGGCAGTTAGCAGTAGAAAGTAGTTTATCAGTAACAGGCATTGAGTTGTAGGCAGTTAGCAGTAGAAAGTAGTTTGTTAGTAATAGGCATTGAGTTGTAGGCAGTTAGCAGTAGAAAGTAGTTTGTTAGTAATATGCAGCGAGCTGTTGGCAGTTAGCAGTAGAAAGTAGTTTGTTAGTAATAGGCAGCGAGCTGTTGGCAGTTAGCAGCGAGCTGTTGGCAGTTAGCAGTAGATAGTTGTTTATTAGTAACAGGCATTGAGTTGTAGGCAGTTAGCAGTAGAAAGTAGTTTGTTAGTAATAGGCAGCGAGCTGTTGGCAGTTAGCAGTAGAAAGTAGTTTGTTAGTAATAGGCAGCGAGCTGTTGGCAGTTAGCAGTAGATAGTTGTTTGTTAGTAACAGGCATTGAGTTGTAGGCAGTTAGCAGCAGATAGTAGTTTATTAGTATTAGGCAGCGAGCTGTTGGCAGTTAGCAGCAGATAGTAGTTTATTAGTAACAGGCAGCGAGCTGTTGGCAGTTAGCAGTAGAAAGTAGTTTATCAGTAACAGGCATTGAGTTGTAGGCAGTTAGCAGTAGAAAGTAGTTTGTTAGTAATAGGCATTGAGTTGTAGGCAGTTAGCAGTAGAAAGTAGTTTGTTAGTAATAGGCAGCGAGCTGTTGGCAGTTAGCAGTAGAAAGTAGTTTGTTAGTAATAGGCAGCGAGCTGTTGGCAGTTAGCAGCGAGCTGTTGGCAGTTAGCAGTAGATAGTAGTTTATTAGTAACAGGCATTGAGTTGTAGGCAGTTAGCAGTAGAAAGTAGTTTGTTAGTAATAGGCAGCGAGCTGTTGGCAGTTAGCAGTAGAAAGTAGTTTGTTAGTAATAGGCAGCGAGCTGTTGGCAGTTAGCAGTAGATAGTTGTTTATTAGTAACAGGCATTGAGTTGTAGGCAGTTAGCAATAGGCTATATGTAGCTAGCAGTAGATAGTAGTTTGTGAGTAATAGGCAGTGGGCTGTCGACCGTAAGCAGTACATAACAGACAGTGAGCAATAACCAGTGAACATTTAAGATAAAGCAAGCATTAGGCAGGACGCTTTCTGAAACGGTATTTCATAGGATTGCCCCTTTAGAATTAACAACTGAAGTACCATTGAGAGGTAGTCTTATATTATTTTAAGTTGGGAGATATGATTCTTAAACGTTATCAGCATACTTTCATACCATTATAGTATGAATCAATATCCTGAATTAGCCTCCCCTATAATCAAATCAAAATCGTCCCGTTACAACATTCACAAAACCCAATATTAAACATCAAGGTACTGATCAATAACATTTGCTTGATTAATTTTTTTTGTCAGTTCTTCCCTTTCTGAGACTACCCAAGCAGAAAGGTAAAATAGAACTGCAGTATCAAGGTATATGGGGAAGCTTGTGTTTTGATCTTGGACTGTCAACAGACGAAACAGGACAAATCTGCCAGAGACAGTACAAGCTACTTTATACAACCTATAGGTAGGTCAGCCTCCATAACGACTTTTTGTATAGACATTTTGTATATTCACAGTTTTACAAATAACTGAAACAATTTACAGATTTTGTATTAACGTATCCCATGGTTCCAAATATAACGCCATGGGCTATAGCTATTGTTAATGTACATGCGAGTGTGCTGCTGTTTACAAACCATACACGTGTTCACTTTTCAGGAACGCCTACATCTATCCCATGACTGCTTATAGAGGAAATTTGTACGACAATTATCATTACATCTGTCATTCCACTGAATTACATTGTAAAGGTAAATATAATCAGGAAGAGTAGGAGGGTCTCGCCATATGTATCCACTGTATTCTTTATTATGTACTACTCAAACAATCGCATAACGAGGAGAAATGGAAATCGCAGGTGCGCGCTATCCAGTGATAGATGTTTCTATTTCGTTACGTTTGTCTTATACATTCAACTTTTGGCTCATTGCAACGTCATGTGTATAATGACGTTGTAGCTAGTCTCTCTTCTGATTTTATAATCGATCAAAAGTTAGTTGAATTGCAGAAAGTTTGTTATGCTACTACGTAAGATAAGAAACTTCATCGAATATGTTTGAATTATATCATCCAAGGACTGATATTCCATAACCAACACTTTGACGTAAGACACAAAGCTATTCTTAAAACTCTACGGTACATCTGGCACGTGCCATTATGATTTTTTGCTGTGCTTTTTACGTAAACCATTTTAATTTTTATGGTCGAAAATCCCGAAAACATGTATAAATATTCAATCAAAAATCATAATTTCATCCATATTTTACAAATACAACAGATGTAAGACCCAGTTTCACAATGAAATAGAGCACCGTATGGGACACCGGATAATTGAATATCGAATTTCTTCAATTTATCCAATTTTTCTGTTCTTGAAATGATGGTAACAACAGCAGAAATTTCTGATACTATGTAAAATGGTATTTTAGAACAAACTAGAGGGACGAAACAGCTGTATGATGCAGTTTTATTAATTATTTGGCATAATCTAATCTTACATTGTAATGAAAAATGCTTTCACTAGCGTGTCCTTTTAACGATCATCTAGAATACATTTCTGTACAACCTGCATAACTAACTTTGTTATTGAAACTGTGTAGATTCTTGTTTTGATGCAGTAGTATGGCACCTATTTATAAAATCTGACCAAAATTACCCTCCTATCCCATTATAATACTCTATTGCTGATCACTTTAAATTTCTGAAGCGCAAAGTAGATTGATCTCAAATAGAACAGAATATTAGAAATGTTAATTTCTGTAACTGAAGCAGTTAAGTGTGTGTAGATAATAAATCAGACAAGCCCAAAAATCAAGACATTTTATAAGTAAAACGATACTTCAACACAGGTGATCCGCCAGAAGAACCCGTTTTTACCATAATAACAACTAGTGATAAGATATATGCCGGAGAAGACATCATCCTTTCTTGCTCAGTTGACGGTGGAATACCTGAACCAGTCATTAGTTTGGAGAAAAATGGTCAGTATATGAAAACAGAGGAAACATGGCAGCATTCCCGCGATACAGTTGTGTTCGTGAGAAATACGTCCTTCACCTTATCATATGACGACAACAACGCCACAGTAAAGTGTATAGTTAATTACAATGGAGACGTCCTTTACCAGCAGAATGCCACTTTAAATGTGATGTGTAAGTAAGCGCGGGTGTCAGTCATTGTCAAAATTTTATCAATTTGTTTTTCAACGGATGTTTAACATTTATACATCAATATCTATAACAATAACATACCTGTTACCCCCATAGTAGTACTCCATTAAATGTTATTGAAATAGATCAATTTCAATTAATTTATTTTCATACTTTTTTTTATTACAAATTTGTTTTCGTCCGTATTTTTAATGATAAATTTCGAACCATAGGCAAACTGATATATTTGTTTCGATATATTTCGATATATATTTGTTTCGATATATATTTGTTTATTTAAAATTTTCTATTATGCCGGGATATTATATTTCAATATGATCATTCAAATTCTAGTCAATCAACAATGAACTTGCTTCAGATCCACCAATAATTACGGTACAAGACTATGTCGAGGTCAACGAAACAGACGACGTCGTCATCAAATGCACTGTTACTTCTAACCCCGCATCGCCTGTATGGTGGACAAGACCAAACTACACTGACAAATCAAACGATGGGACATTGAACTTGACAAGTATATACCGTAACGCAATTGGCAGTTACATATGCAATGCTGAGAATGAGATCGACTCAGTGCAGAATACAACCGTGATATATATAAATGGTAATCAATTATATGAAAATAAAAACTTAAATAGTGCTATTATATGTTTAGTGTTAAACATATATATTATAATGATGTGTAAAAATTGCTATATTGTTTGTTTATGTTAAACATTCCGTAGTATATCTGATTTGGTCCTTCTTCATTTTTCGGTTTTACATAATGTTTTTCTGGAGAGGGATGTCTGCTTTTGTGTCAGCCACGACAGTCCATATTGACTTCGCTCTAATGTTTATTTCTGGTGGTTGTTTATTCTTTGCGGTGTATCGATAGACCACCGACAACGTAGTGACACAAAAGTTACCTGTTAGTAGATAATATGGGAACCACTGAATCACTTTTCGGTAATGCGAATGTACAATCTTGGAAATATTCCAAATTTTTTTGTTCATATTTTGGCAAAAATTGTAAATAGTTTATGGTTATTTCAAAACGGTGAATCAAAATGAATTAACAACATTTGTATATATAAAAAAAACGATAAAAAAAACTTATATTATACATACACAACATTGATATGGTCCTCTACTAAGAAATACAATATATATCTCAATACATTGGTAACAATTGTTAAATCACATGGAAGTGGAAAACATGTTTTTGTTTTAACTCTTCCGAAGTTATGTCTGTATCAATGTAATTAATTTTAACTCCGACGAATCTAGGTATAACAATAATCACATAACTGTTTTAACTTCCTTGAAATTGTGGCAGGAACAAAAAACACATGTAATTAACTACGATAAAGTTATGTCTATAACAACAGATATGTCAATGCTTTAGCTCCACCGAAGTTGTGTCGGAAAAAATATATACCTAATTGTTTTAGCTCCACAGAAGTTGTGTCAGTAAAATATATAACTAATTGTTTTAGCTCTGCCGAAGTTGTGTCAGTAAAATATATACCTAATTGTTTTAGCTCTGCCGAAGTTGTGTCAGTAAAATATATACCTAATTGTTTTAGCTCTGCCGAAGTTGTGTCAGTAAAATATATACCTAATTGTTTTAGCTCCACCGAAGTTGTGTCAGTAAAATATATACTTAATTGTTTTAGCTCCACAGAAGTTGTGTCAGTAAAATATATACCTAATTATTTTAGCTCTGCCGAAGTTGTGTCAGTAAAATATATACCTAATTGTTTTAGCTCTGCCGAAGTTGTGTCAGTAAAATATATACCTAATTGTTTTAGCTCTGCCGAAGTTGTGTCAGTAAAATATATACCTAATTGTTTTGGCTCTGCCGAAGTTGTGTCAGTAAAATATATACCTAATTGTTTTAGCTCCACCGAAGTTGTGTCAGTAAAATATATACCTAATTGTTTTAGCTCTGCCGAAGTTGTGTCATTAAAATATATACCTAATTGTTTTAGCTCTGCCGAAGTTGTGTCAGTAAAATATATACCTAATTGTTTTAGCTCTGCCGAAGATGTGTCAGTAAAATATATACCTAATTGTTTTAGCTCCACCGAAGTTGTGTTAGTAAAATATATACCTAATTGTTTTAGCTCTGCCGAAGTTGTGTTAGTAAAATATATATCTAATTGTTTTAGCTCTGCCGAAGATGTGTCAGTAAAATATATACCTAATTGTTTTAGCTCCACAGAAGTTGTGTTAGTAAAATATATACCTAATTGTTTAGCTCTGCCGAAGTTGTGTCAGTAAAATATATAACTAATTGTTTTAGCTCCACCGAAGTTGTGTTAGTAAAATATATACTTAATTGTTTTAGCTCTGCCGAAGATGTGTCAGTAAAATATATACCTAATTGTTTTAGCTCTGCCGAAGTTGTGTCAGTAAAATATATACCTAATTGTTTTAGCTCTGCCGAAGTTGTGTCAGTAAAATATATACCTAATTGTTTTAGCTCCACCGAAGTTGTGTCAGTAAAATATATACCTAATTGTTTTAGCTCTGCCGAAGTTGTGTCAGTAAAATGTTTGTACTTAATTGTTTTAGCTCCACCGAAGTTGTGTCTGTATCAGTATGAAGCTACTGAGGAAAACCAGACAGTCCAGATAAAATGTTCGGGTACCGGAATTCCAACTCCGAACATTACATGGCATAACTCCTCTGAACTAATAACTGACATGGTTATTCAGACTGGTATCGATCCCAGCAACTCGTATTTAGTGGTCAGTGAGTTGAAAGTTTCTGTCTCTGGGAATGATGATATCGTTGGATATAGATGTATGATCACCAATGAACATGGCAAAGCACAGAAAACATTCAGAATCCGTGAGTATACAAGTTTTTTTGTTTTCCTCCAATATATCAGACTTCTGTATTAGACGTTTCTGGTGGTTGTTTTAACACCTAATAAATGTATTAGTAAAGTTGAACTTAACGTCTATTAGAGAAATATTGAACTTATGTTACTTTGATTTATAACGTAATTCCCGATAGATAGACATTATCTTGGTTTGAGCTTGAACTTAAAGAATCTATGTTGCACTTTTATACAGGTAGGAAGCTGAAATGCAGATGTCGTTCTAGGATTCTAAAGAACTGCGCACCATTGGAGTTTACACCAGTCGAACTAAAAGTGGAAATGGAAGACACTGAAAAGATACTTATGGTGAAAAAAGAAAAATTAACAGTTCATAAAATGAAAATGATCTCCGGGCATGATGGCCGATCTTCCTCTTTCCTGATTGGCACAGTGGGAGTTATTGTCCTGGTTACCCTTGGTGTCATATTGATTGTCTTTGATTTGTGTGGATACTTCGTCATCAACCGAAAAATCAAACCTGCATAAGAAAGGAACTCATGTTACATCAAGTCTAGCGTTTACACTTACAATGACAGGCTGATGGGGCCAACATTTACTGATGGAATCTACAGTGACTAGGATAGCGAATTAGTATCTTCAAAGAAAAACAAATATATATATATATATCTACAGTTACAATTGCCTACAAAGTTTTGATTGTTGGTTGGCAATGTTTGGTAATATAATCTTATTGTTATATATTTGTCTTTGAGTGGATCCAGGACAGGATTATGAATCGATGACAAGCTTTTGTTTAGAAACCTATTAAAACTTTGTGGAGTTACGAAAAAATTAAAAATGTGAGAACTGAGATTTGAAACAGGACATATGAATCGAAACTTGTGATTGCTTTGTTTATTGGGTGTTCAGGAACCTTTAACCCTTCAGTATCCGGGCCAATTGGGGTTTTCTCAACTAAAGAACAATCCTATAAGCATGATTTATTGTAAGTAAGAAGGAGAGTGCATGTGATGGCGTGAAAAAGAGTGAAAAGTGTTGTTGATTTTAAACTCGTTGGAGACACAAGATAATGTATCTAAAATATGCAATATCAAGGATATTTGACATACAGAGGTTTATAAGTGTGTCTTTAACACTGGTCTTTGTTGGGGTTTCGTCGACATGAAGAATCTTACTACAATCCAAAGGAAGGAGGACAATACAACAACCCAAAATCTAGGCTAAAGCATAGTTGTCTTATTAAGTGAAAGCTGAACTTTTCAAACATCTGCAATTCGTACAATTTGCTCTCAAGATACAATTTAAGTACTAGGTCCTTGGTTTCTTGTTAATAGTTGTTTTCCATTTGATCAATATGAATGTTTTATATTTTGTGAACTTAGTTTGTTTTGTGTAAATAAAAAATAATGGTAAAACATATCAACGACAGCTTTGTTGTTCTCGCTAACAAAATAAAAATGGAATTCAACGCTGATTTCTCAATGAATAAAAAGTAAAATCTGTTCTTTACAATGTATGTAACATTTGTAAGAAAGAAACATTTAAAATTAAAAAGAAAAAAAATTACACAAAAAATTGATTAAGCCTTGCATTGACGAATAAAATTCTATCCATACAGCCAATATTTACATATTGTAAAACGCAGTATTATATTAGTGATAAGATAAGCTGTCAAGGAATTCTACATTTATCACAAAGAAAAGACATTTTATTATATACCATGTGTGTCAAATAGATCTCTATAATAATGATCGTTGTTTTTTCAACAGAGACTAAACAGCACTGTCGTTGTAATCGACGATGTACTTATTTGAAGAATATACTAAATATTACTATGGAGCAAGCTAGAAATGCCATGGAACAAATAAAGAAGGAGCTAACAGTGGAACCAACGACGCTTACGAGTTACATCATAAAGAAATTATCCATGAAAAATTCCAATACCTCCTCCATTGGCTTTGGGGTCATAGCTATTATGATTATTATACTCGTTTTTGGGTTTCTGGTTGGAGGCGATATCATTAAACTCGCTAAATACCTTCATGATCGTAGGAGACTTGAATTAAAGGAAGTAAAAACCGTGAACAACACGCCGGAAAGCAAAGAGATTCGAGCTAAAACAAATAAACAGAGGAAAAAACGGAAACTAAAGAAATGCAAAGGAGACAAAGAGAACGTAGGTTTGAATCCCAAATATAGAACATTGAAAAAACTTTAGAAAATCATGCCGAAATCATGATATGGGACACAAACATTTTTTTCAAACCAGCACTTTACAATTACTGATGTCATAAGAAGATTGATATTTTGTCGGAAACTGCAAAGAAAAACAAGAAGGGGATTATCTGAAAGCAACTAACGTTTAAATCGATGTAATACCACCTTATGCTTTTTGTGTTGAATGCGAACTTCAGTGTTCTTCTTCATTACTCGTTTGTTCCAGGAGACTTCCATCGCGGTGCTACCTGATGCTTTTGTGAACAAATGAATATTCGGGAGAAAGCATCGGGCTGCATATATGTGTTTGATATTATGTTTGCAGTTGATTGTAATGTCCGAAAGAATAATATATGTTATAGAATGTTACAAATAGTTGAAAAGAGACTTTCCGTAGCCCATTGTGTATGAATATGTAAAAAGGAGCCGATCTTATTTATGAAATTATACTTATGTTCATTGATCTTGGGCCCATTAGGGTCTTGTAAGTTTGTTGTAGATGAAGATGTTTCATTAAACAAAATACATGTAAATTCAAGTGTGATTCAATGTTGTAACATGTTAATGAATTACTCTCGAACACATTTACACCACTTCACCATATATAACTACAACTTTATATTCACAACGCTATTAACTACCTGACTGTGGCGACATAAAAATGAATCAAAATTTATCAATAGTTCAACCACACTGTGCTTCTTTTTTGAAATATATAGTAATCGCATTGTTATTAAAAAAAATAAACTAATTTTGGATGCTTTTAAAATAGCGATTTGAAAGATCGCGGCATTATTTACGCAGAAAATTGCCGCTAGAGGGCTCAAACTCTTTTCGATATTTCAGCCAATGAGAAGGCCAGGATGGGTAAATTTTGTCTGAAAGGCCGTAGCAATAGGCTATGCGTACTGAGTACGTTCAGCCTAACTAGTAGTTTTACGAAGGGTTGTGTCCCTTTAATGGCTGATGTTATTCTGCAAGTCAAAACTTCGGTCTAAGTGACTTTCATACCTTTGAACTGTCATTTATTGAGTACAGAGATGCAACACCTTGACTTACTAGGAGAAAGTGTCAGTTCCTCAGTCTGAAAATTGTTCGAGAGAGTAACATATAGAGTGAAATATGCACCACTTTAATATTTAATTTGTATGGCAACCATTTGTTACAAGCTTTAGAGTGTAATAGTGATCAATTAAATCGAAACTTGAACAATTATGTAACCAGTCTGTTGTTTAATGGTGCGGCCCATGCAAAACTCGTACATTCAAATGAATTGAAACATGACATGCAGTTTATGTTATGATGTTGATACTCAGTAATCATTGACATTATCGCCGGGTTGAAAATTGAATATCGTCTTTACGTTTGCATTCACTAATAACCAGTTCGGGCGATATCCGTCACAGCAATTAACACAACGATCAAGTTGGTGAGTATCACTTTTAATTTTCATTGATTTATTTTCATTATTTGTCCGTTCTACAGTATAAGTCGTTCGCAGACAAAGATTTCAGGTCAGTTCGCCTTTGTTGGTCATACATCATTAAAAGTAATTTCCGTTTGTCTCTTTTATGATTGTCATTTGGATTGCATGGATATAAGTTCCGATGGTGATATTTTAGTCCCCGTATATACGAAACAGGTACCAATCCTATATTTTAATGACATATGATACAGGAGATTTACCAACATTATAGTTAAATGGTATAATGAACGGGATATGTACCAACATTATAGTTAAATGGTATAATGAACGGGATATGTACCAACATTATAGTTAAATGGTATAATGAACGGGATATGTACCAACATTATAGTTAAATGGTATAATGAACGGGATATGTACCAACATTATATTTAAATGGTATAATGAACGGGATATGTACCAACATTATAATCAAATGGCATATTGACATTATGACCTACAAGCGTAAAGAACAGAAAATGTATCAGACTTATAATTTAACGACATAAAGGACGGGAGATGTATCAGACTTATAATTTAACGAAATAAAGGACGGGAGATGTATCAGCCTTATAATTTAACGAAATAAAGGACGGGAGATGTATCAGCCTTATAATTTAACGACATAAAGGACGGGAGATGTATCAGACTTATAATTTAACGACATAAAGGACGGGAGATGTATCAGCCTTATAATTTAACGACATAAAGGACGGGACGGACATAAAGGAGAGATGTATCAGCCTTATAATTTAACGACATAAAGGACGGGAGATGTATCAGCCTTATAATTTAACGACATAAAGGACGGGAGATGTATCAGCCTTATAATTTAACGACATAAAGGACGGGAGATGTATCAGACTTATAATTTAACGACATAAAGGACGGGAGATGTATCAGCCTTATAATTTAACGACATAAAGGACGGGAGATGTATCAGCCTTATAATTTAACGACATAAAGGACGGGAGATGTACCAATCATATAACTCAATGACATAAAGAACAGGACATGTATCAATGTAATAATTCAATTACATAAAGCACTGGGGATAGGCCAAACATATGATTTTATATATAGAACGGAAGATATAGAGGATATATAATAATGTCTTCAGTAAAATATATAGCTTAAGGCACACGAGTATAATATATTTGTTTATTTCTGAAGGCTATATCAAATATTCTATTTATTACATTTTCACAAGCAAAATAGCTATATTACTGACATGTTAAAAACAAATATAAAATTAGGAAATTGGCTAAGTTCTCCGCGGACACTACTCACTCATTATAACTTCGCAGTACGACAAAATATAGTTCGGATTTTAAAAAAATCATTAAAATATGTAAACACAAAGATAAAATTCAATGTCATTTTATTTCTATATTAGAAATTATACTTATCAGGACATGTAACAAAGATGTAGAGGTATAGTGTAGGACATGTAACTTAGATGTAGAGGTACAGTGTAGGATATGTAACAAAGATGTAGAGGTATAGTGTAGGACATGTAACTTAGATGTAGAGGTACAGTGTAGGATATGTAACAAAGATGTAGAGGTATAGTGTAGGACATGTAACATAGATGTAGTGGTATAATGTAGGACATGTTATGTAACAAAGATGTAGAGGTACAGTGTAGGACATGTAACAAAGATGTAGAGGTATAGTGTGGGACATGTAATGTAACAAAGATGTAGAGGTATAGTGCAGGACATGTAACAAAGATGTAAAGGTATAGTATAGGACATGTAACAAAGATGTAGAGGTATAGTGTAGGACATGTAACTTAGATGTAGTGGTATAATGTAGGACATGTAACATAGATGTAGAGGTA